CAGCAGCCCCCGCGCGCCCGGAGCTGCCACCCCTCGGCCGGCCCGGCGAGCCCGGGCGTGCACCGAGCTGACGGAGGATGGCCACCTCCGTGGTGGAGAAAAGCTGCAAGAAGAAGACGGAGAAGAAGCTTGCTGCTCGAGAAGAAGCGAAATTGTTGGCGGGCTTCATGGGTGTCATGAATAACATGCGGAAACAGGTACAGCCTGTGTGGGAGTGGCGGACGGCGGGGCGGGGGAGGGGGATGGCGGGGTCCGGACTCTGACCCCTTGCTGCCTGGGCCGCAATGCGCGCGCCCTGTGGACCCAGACCCTCTTCTTCCCCCGTCCTCGCCCTTCCTCCCATTTCCACGCCAGCCAGCTGCTGTTAGGAGAGGGTCGCTTTCAGTGCCTCCTCGTCTATCGATGCCCAGACTCCCAGGTCAGATCCTGGGAGCCTCCCCGGGCTGGCATTCGGCGCCGGTGTCGGTGGTGTGGCGGCTCTGCCCTAGGCATGGCCTTGGGAGGCGAGGAGCCACCCCTCCACCGGCGAGCTGTAAGCGCGGTGTCAGGTGTCAGGAGATCGGGTGCGAAGGAGCCCAATGGCACAGTCCAGCCGGAAGCCCCCGCAGCGGGGAGAGGAGCATGGCCGGGCCTGAAATCTAGCTCCTCTCGCATAAGCATCCCCGCCCCCTTCCGAGGTTGCGGCCCCCTCCCGTGCATGTTAATTTCGAGCAGAGACAGCCTTCGATCGACGCCGTGCCGCTGCCTTTGGAAGGCCCCGTGCGCCTCTGCTGCGCGGACGGGCTCTTTGTTCTGTCTGGGGTAGGAGGCGCCTTCGTGCAGGGCTTCACGCGTCGGCGAAAGGTGGGTATGAAAAGAACCGATTTTAATACGCCAGCGGATGTCGGCTAGAGTTTTGTGTGTGTTAATTCCATAACATCTTATACCAATAGAGCATTAAAAAAATCACTTGGTTACTTTTTTGATTCTGTAAACTTGATAGAAAATAGGAGTCTAAGGAGACTTGTAAGCATGTTTCGGTTTTGTGACCCTGGCCCAGTTTTTCAAGAGGACAAAAGCAGGTTGTCGGAGTACCTGCCAGACCTGGTTTGCTTATCTAGGGTTCTGATGGGAATGGGGATGACTGTAGAGGAATTTAAGATCCTTATGAAGATATTTAGCTTTGACTTCTTTAAGGGAATTCTGGCCGATGGGATGTTGTCTTTGTTCATCCGCTCCTGGCTCGCGTGGCGCCTGAATGCAGGCGATCCTCGGTGGGAATGCCTTTCAATCTTTTCCTAACCTTTGTGCTGAAAGAGCTGTGAAATACCTGAATTCAGTATTTTGTGTAACTTACTTTATGTATCTATTTGTATGTAGCCATTCATGTTGCTTTCTCTCATTGTGACCACACCACCATTTTTATGTATAACAGCACCACTGACTTCAAATTTCTGGTGCATTTAACTACGGTAGTTGGTCAAGGTCCACCAGAGCTCACATTTGTTTTCAGCAACCTTCCCACTCCTTCAGATAATGCATTTTCTTCCGAGGACTGTAGCATGATAAAGCATTGCCTCATTTCTTGCAGAGACAACGTGCCCGTAGGTTACAGTGTCACATGTTTACTAGAGGAGAGGGGATTGCCTGAGACTGTGTAATTTAGTTCCTTAGGTTTTAAAATGGATTTATATCCATTGGGTAGACTTAGCTTTGGCTATATTAACATCTGTTTACTTACTGTCAAAATAGAAATACAGTAACTGAAAGTCAGGATTCTGTACTGAGTAGGAAGGGAAAATGGATGCTGGGGGACATTTCTTCTAGGGTGGTTAACTGACCTTAATCTGCTGGATCTTTTTTTTTGTCAATGGCTTTGCCTGTAAGTCCAGCAGTTCTCCAATAGTACTTTTCCCAACTTCATGGAATCCTGCCTCTTTTGCATCTAAGATGTGTAGGTTCATTTTGCAGTTGATTTACATTGCACTTGTGTTGTTCTGTTTAACATCATAACACTAGAGAGACTCACCAAGAATGACTGACAAGGGCAGTTGATAGGAATTGGCAGGATTAGAAGCTGGTTTGGCCAGAGAAGGAATGTTTGAGTGAGGACCGATTTTATATGTGTCTTTGTTCTTTCATGAATGTTTTTGTGTAATGACTATTTTTGCTTACCCTTATGACCTCAGTACTTTGGGAATCAGGATAATGAGTACCTGACTGACAAGGATTCCTCTATGAAACATTTCTGTAAGAAGTTGAGAACACTGCAATTAGAAAACCTGAATTCCAATCCCTGGGCTACCATTAATTAGTTTTATTATTTTTAGATAATTTGATTTAGGTCATGTCATCTCTCTGTAACATAGTAGCCAGTCTTATACATAGTGATGAAAGGGGGTTCTGCAGAACCAGCAGCTTAAGCTTTTTTTTTTTCAACTTCTTATGGAGCCTTTTCCTCCATCACCCTTTCAGTCATTTCCGGCCTTTTGTTTTTAAGTGCATTTTCCAATGAAGTAGAGGATTCATGTAAAAGGATACAAATCATAAAGTGCAGCTCAATGAATTGTTACCAAGTGACCCCACCACCACCACCAAGAAACATAACATGACTAATACACCATAGGTCCCTCCTTATGCCCTTCTCAGTCACTATCCCTCAAAGGTAACTATTATTCTTCTATCACCATAGATTTTTCTTTTACTTTTTTCGAACTTATATAAATGGAATCATAAATACTCTTGTCTTAGTTTCTTAAAGACTATGTTTGTGATTTTTATCTATGCTGTTATATATACTAGTAGCTCTAGTTCATCCTCATTCTATATATTATTCCATTGTATAAAAACACAGTTTATCCATCCTATCGTTATGGATATCTGGGTCATTTTCAGTTTGGGACTGTTGAGAAGAGCACTACTTTGAACATTTTTGTACATGTCTTTTGATGTGCACATGTATGCATTTCTGTTGGGAAATACCTAAGAATGGAGTTGTTGAGTTATAGATTATGCTGCATAAAGTTTTCTAGATACTGTCATAGTTTTCAACATTTTGCCAGTTCACATTTCTGCCAGCTGTATGTGAGAGAGGCTTTTGCTCTACATCCTTGTCAATACTTAGTATTCTCAGTCTTTATAATATTAGCAATTCTAGTGGGTTATAGTGGCATCTTATTTAATTAGGTTGCACACCTTTTCATTTCATTTCTTTTCCTAAATTTTTGTTTATATTAATTTTCTTACCTGATGGCACTAGTAAAAGGCACTACAAGCAGGACTGAGTCATAGTCACTACTGCACATATCCAGTTGTTTCTATTGTGTCAATGAAGTCCAGGAGACCTTAACATTGACGGGTACGTTTTGAGACCTTCCTGGGTACCACTATAGTTTTCTCATGTTAAATGAACTAAAGCATACCTGGAATTTAAAAGCTTATGTAAGCTCTATTGAAAGTGATAGGAGAGAACCACAAGGCTGATTTGAGCATTGGATGCTGGGTAGTCATCTAGGCTCACTAACTAAAATGGCTCAACTTCTGTACACTCACCTCTCCAAGACTGTAAATTACTGCATATCAATAACCTTAGGGTCTCTTATGAAACACTTCTTGAGCACTTATTTTCTACCAGCCATTCTGCAGTGTTTTACATGCTTTGTCATATTTTATTCTCATAACAACTGCCATCTGCAACAGATACCTATTCTGCAAAAACAACTTGTTGCAAGGATACAGGAGCCCTAACCGGTTTGGCTCAATGGATAGAGCATCGGCCTGCGGACTGAAAGGTCCCAGGTTCGATTCCGGTCGGGGGCATGCGCCTTGGTTGCGGGCACATCCCCAGGGGGAGGTGTGCAGGAGGCGGCTGATCGATGTTAGTCTCCCATCGATATTCCTAACTCTCTATCCCTCTCCCTTCCTCTCTGTAAAAAATCAATAAAATATATATATTTTTAAAAAGTATACAGGAGCTTACAGCATTGACCACAGCTGGGAGACAAGCAGGTGTGGCAGATAAGCAGGAACCAGGGATTCTCTGGTAGCAAGGCTGCAAAACCCTGGAGTCGAGGTTACTGTGAGGAACAGCCTAAACCACTTGCTATTGCTGCCATTAGGTGGTTTTCCCTCCATCCATCATTCACTCAAGGTTCAGAATCCTGGAGGTAGTTGTCTAATTGGCTGGCCTTCTATCGTTTGCCAGATTTGGGCTCTACTGTGAATAGAAAAAAAATATCTGACTTTCTGCTTTCATAATGAGAGGCAGATTCTGAGAATTGCCCTTTCCAAGATAGTTCATAATGAGGAATTTTCTGGAAAATGGAGCTTGGGGTTCTAGTAGGCAGGAGAAATTGGTTGCTAACCAGGATCTACAAGTGTCCACTGTGGTCTACACCTTAGGTTGTCCAATACAAACATGTGTGCCCCTATTCTCATTGCTATCATTAAAAAACAAAGTCGCCAATCAAATTTTTTCACTTAACCATTTCTAACTCCAAGTTCAAGATCACTTAGTGATATTCATTTATTCTATCATCATTTCAAGATCCTAAAGTCTAAGTATTAATAGATGTTTTGGTATGATTCTGGATGGAAAAGAAGATAGAAAACTAGTTAAAACTTACCCTATATCAGTGATGGCGAACCTTTTGAGCTCAGCGTGTCAGCATTTTGAAAAACCCTAACTTAACTCTGGTGCCGTGTCACATATAGACATTTTTTGATATTTGCAACCATAGTAAAACAAAGACTTATATTTTTGATATTTATTTTATATATTTAAATGCCATTTAACAAAGAAAAATCAACCAAAAAAATGAGTTTGCGTGTCATAAGTTCACCATCACTGTCCTATATAATAAAAGCGTAATATGCTAAGTGTCTGGTCATCCAGTTGGCCGTTCAGTCAAAGAGTAATATGCTAATGATATGCTAAGGCCACTCAACTGCTTACTATGATGTGTACTCACCATTAGGGGGCAGACAGTCAACTGGTCAACCCGTCACTATGATGTGCACTGACCACCAGGGGGAAGATGTTCTGACCGGTAGGTGAGCTTGCTGCTGGGGTCAGGCCAATCAGGACTGAGTGAGACAGGCCAGACATGCCCTGGAGCCCTCCCACGGCCCTCCCTGGTCTCGATCGAAGGTGCATGCTTTGCTTTAATAAATTGGCTTCCACAACGCAGTCAAGGTCTCTCCTATCAATTCATTTATATGAGAAGACAAGGACGGGGTTGGGGACAGCCTCGCCCACTGGCTCCAGGGCTGTCTTGTCTCGAAGAGCCAGTTTCAGTCCAATCCCATAGGCCAGGCCAAGGGACTCCACTGGTGCACGAATTCATGCACTGGGCCTCTAGTATAAATATAAGAACAGGATGGAAATGAAAGTAGAAGCCACATTCATTGTTTATTATTATTTATTCATTAATATTTTTATTATTTATTATTATATTTATGACTTCTTTCACTATCTGTTCCTATTCTTTGTCTTTAGCCAGCTCCTCATGGTTGGTTATCCAATGAGGTGACCTAATCCTTTAGTCCTAGGTATCTTAAGCCTTTGGTCTTGCCTGTATATACAATTACTTCAGTCTTTTACTAACATTTACCACTAGGTTTGGCGGACCAGTGTTGGGTCTGGGATTCGATGTTACTTAAAGGCTGATTAGTTATCCTGTTGCCGTTTAATGGATGTTGGCAGAAGACATGAGACTCTGGTGTCAGAGACCACAGACTTGATTACTCACAACACAGCATTGTGTCAGTTCCCCTTGTCCTACGAGTATTGTGAGGGAAACATGTTGGGGGCCCAATGGGTGGACACTGAGCTAAGAAATCTACCATTTTTATAGCAAGCAATAGCAAGCCTGCTCTTTATCCTGGAGGGGAGGCATTATCTCATCCCTTAGTGTTGTTTTGACTCGCTGTCAAAACAACCCTGAGAAATGGTGGCCGGGTAAAAAATGGCAGGACCTTCCATTCTTGTTATGTCCAGGAAGATACATAGGAACTGATAGAGTACTGTGTCTCCTGACAACCACAAGGTACCCAAGGGGATCCCCTGAGTTCCAGCCATCTTCTGCCCCATGGATGGCTAGAGTCCGGCACCTAGCTAAATGTAATAACTTTTATTCTTTTTACCCAGTGGCACGAGGAGCCCAATATGACAAGGTCGCAGTCTTAACTTGCAGTTCTGTAAAAATATTGTTGTATCATTTGGTTGAATCATTCATTTTAGGGTTCCTAAATTTCTAGACTTACAGAATCCATCCCCAGAAAGACATTACTAAGATCAAAATTAGGAACTCTTCCATCCCTTGGTTGCCAGGCTAGTTCTGACTACAGAGAAACCAGTCTGTCTATATAAATCATATACAATCAGATCATTTGAAAGTGGATTCTGCTGCTTAAGGAAAAAAGTTTGGCCCCTACACCAAAAGGGTTGAAGGTTCGATTCCCAATCAGGTTGTGTAAGGGAGGCAACCAATTAATATTTTTCTCCCTCCCTCCCTCTCTCTCATTCCCTCCTCATTCCTTCCCTCTCCCTTTCTCCTTCTCTCCCTTCTTCCTCCCCTCCTTCCTCTTTTACATCCCTCTCCTTCCCAATCCCTCTCCTTCCCTTTCTCTCTCAAATCAATAAAACATATCCTTGGATGAGGATTAAAAAAAAAACACTGATAAGGCTTTTTTTCTCTGAAAAGGAGAACGTAGTGTTTCTGTCTGTCTGTCTGTGTCTATAGCTGTCTATGTGTGGTATTGGGAACAGAGGGCAAAAGAACTGCAACATGGAAGGGAAGAACATTTCTAACGTTCACCTCACCCAAAGGAAAGGAAATGAGGTCTCAAGCTTATGTCTGTCTTCCTAATTTTGGTGTGTGTGTGTGTGTGTGTGAGAGAGAGAGAGAGAGAGAGAGAGAGAGAGAGAGAGAGAGAGAGAGAGAGAGAGAGAGAGAGAGAGAGAGAGAGAGAGAGAGAGAGAGAGAGAGAGAGAGAGAGAGAGAGAGAGAGAGAGAGGGAGAGGGAGAGAGAGAGAGATCTCGATTCTAATCTAATTAAGTTAGAGCTTAAGACACTGCTGTCTTATTAATGATGCCCACCTACTTCTAGTTAAGCAGGACCGTAAGCTGTGTCTTATGGTAGACTCTATAAACTGGATTGGGGTCCAGCCATCTTTTTTTTTCTTTTTCCTTGCAGGACATAAAAATAATCTAGACCAAAATTTAGATTATTGGTTTGCAGAGGTGAGTAAAAAGACCTATATATATGGGCTTCTTAAGAAAAGCCTAATTTTCCAACTTTGTTTTATTAGAGAAGCACTGCATATTGGGGGATTACCTGACTACCTGTCAATAGTATGATCTCTTGTATCTCATTTCGACATTGGTCCTTACATAAACTTCCTGCATTGGTAGGATTCGGACACCAAAGTCCCAGAAGTTAGCTGGATCTAGTAGCTACAAGTTCTTATTTCCAAGTTTACTTTGTCTTTTAGGGTATCTATTTTCTTACTGGCACAGAGAGTGCTTTGTTCTATCTTCAATGCTGACGAAGCATCCTCTATCAGTAACTGTTCTTTTGTGTGTCCTCTGAAGACTAGTTTAGGAACTCATTTAAATTTTTACTCCAGAAAGCTTTGAAATGGATAGATATCAATTAAGTTCACTTCCATTTCCCATCTCAATTTTTTCTCAATATGTCATTCATAGTGTTCCAGAGAGTCTGCAGTGAACTACATGACTTAAAGCATTGCATCTAATTCCAACTAGCAACATAAAATCCCCCAAATTTGATTCCTATGAGCCCTCTTATTAAATTCCCACAACTGTGATCACCTATAAATTAAAATGATAGCAATTGAATTGCAAATGTCTGCTCTCCCTGGTTTCTTATACTGCTCAGTCTCAGCAATAAGGCATAAGCCTAAGTGTTTGGGTATCAGGATAGCTTCCTCAGCAGCTGCAGGGTAGGCTGCCTTCCACTGGAATAGATTTCATATAATACCTCTAAAGCTGAATTTCCCAATTTCAAGATAGTGGGTGCCACATGCCACTTGCATGTCAAAGGGACCCTAGAACTCTTAAGATTAGCACAGCATCCTCCCCATCTCCACAAACCTGAAGAGATCCAAGCAAATCTCCTCTATCTCTATAACAAATAGTGCAAAGGTTGACATTATTATACAATCCTAACCCACATTATTGTTCCCAGCCAAAAAGAGAACAGAAACTTCCATTTCTGAAGAGGGTTTTTCAAAAACATAAAATCTTGGCTTTTGTGGTTGAGAGGTTGCCAGTTTATCAGCTGTCTCTAATTGATGGACTCTAAGACTAAACTCACTGGGAGGACTCACTTATCAAAAAGGCTAATAGGGACACTATGTTTACCATATAGAGAAGGAATTTCATCTATGCGTAATAATGTTTCATAAGACACATTGTTTTCCTTAGACAAAATTTTAGACACTTGCCAATAAGATGTACTTGGCTGCTGGGTCTCCTAAAGTTTCCTCTTTTCCCCTGTTCACTTGGGGGCAGAATTATGGAAGAAGAATGAGCCTGGAGGCCTGGCTCCATGTGACCACTACCATACTCTTGCCCATCCTATAGTCACTCTTCCACAAGTAACAGTTCAAGAAAAGGACTGAAACTTCCTTCCCAGGGCTTACCTTCCCCAGAGGAAGCGGGAGTACATTAAGAGCCAGAAATCTGATGTTTCCATAAAAGTGTAACAGTTATCCCAATACCATTTTTCAATGATCTGATCTCTCACTACATTTTTTGAATTTTTACTTTATTTTTTAGAGCAGTTTTAGTTTTACAGAAAAATTGAGCAGAAAGTGCAGTTTCCATTTACCCCTTCGCCCTCACCCCCACAGTTCCCCCTATTATTAACATCTTGCATTCGTGTAATACATTTGTTACAACTGATGAGCCAATATTGTGGCATTATTAAGAACCAAAGTTTACATTAGGGTTCACTCTTTCTGTTGTACATTCTATGAGTTTTGATAAATGTATCATGACATGTATCAACTGTTACAGCAGTATACAAAATAGTTTTACTGCCCTAAACTTTGTCTGTGCTCCACCCTCTCACCACATTTTTGAAATGGTATCTTTATCATATATCAAATTTCCACTTGTTTCAAACTTGAATGAGAATGCCTTTCCTGTTTCACCATTAAATGTGATGTTTGCTATGGAGTTCTGATATTTGACCTTTAGTATACATCGTTTTCTTTATGAAAGTCTCAGGAAGTGAATTTTATTCAACAGTCTTTTCCATCTATTGAAGTTTTTCTACAAGAAGTTTTTCTCTTTTAACCTGTCAATATGATGAATTGCATTAATAGAATTACTTTTTGAACCCTCCTTGCATTCCTAGAACAATATTTGACTAATACCCTGCTGAGTTCAGTTTGCAAATACTTGACATATCTGTAAGGCAGTCTCTAAAGGAAGAAAAAAGTGCAAAGAAAATGTGACCAAAATAGCAACTGGCAGTTAAAGAAAAAAGAAGACAGCAAGAAAGCAAAATAAATAGCATAAAAGAAGATGGCATTTGTAAGGTAAAACATAAGTTATCAGTAATAAATATGAAGAATTAAACACTACTAAAAATATTCTTAGATGGTGAGAACTTCCAACTAAGTCACATAAAAATCTGTGCTGTTTATAAGAGACTATTCAAAAACTGAAAATAATACAAAGATATAACTAATATGAGGGACATAAATAGAGAAATCTCAAGAGTTATTTTTCTTGTTTTATCCAGTGAACATGTATTGTTCAACAGGTACTTTTTGTTTCTCTTCATTCACCTAGGACTTGTTACCTCTCACATTCTCCAATTTACCCGAGTCTCTTTCTCTTCCCATTTCCTATCTGTGGTTACACCTCTTCCCCAGTTGACTGATAGCAGGAGGGAACTCTCTCTAGGTCAGCCCCATCTCTTGTTGAAACCTATTGATCTACTGTAGTACAGTCAAGTAAATGTACCATTTGGATAAAAAAGATTCCTCCCCTTTCACCCCCCCCCCCATACACACAACATTAATATCCAGCCAAAGATTAATTTTAGGTTAAGACTAAATTACTCTACAATCCCTCTGATTTCCCTAATGTCCTCCAGTGCCTATTAAATCACTCCACTAAAACTCCTATTGCTGAGAATGCCTTGGAAAGGTTTTTGGCTACATTTCTGTTTAGCTCTCTCTGCACTTTCTGGAACTTTTCATCAGCAGCTATAGATCCCTCCCCTATCTTATTTGCTTGCTATCCTGTCAATATTCTTTCCTCCTTCCTTTTCTTCCCTGCTTCCTTTCTTTTTCTCTTAAGTAACTTGATCAGCTTGTTTTGGTGGTAACCAAATCATTAGTTTGGTTTTTGGTACCTGAGTATTGTTGGGTTTGTTTGGTGTGGTTTGTAGCAAAATTACCTGAGAGTTATGCCTACTCTGAACCTCCTCCCCAAATAAAAGGAAATCACATTTTTAAAATTCAAGACATTATTGGAATAACAATAGCTTTAACTTTAAGAAATCTACATATAATTTCTAAGCAGTACTATAGCCTTATAAAAAATCTTCAAATAAGCCATAAAAGGGAAATTATGTTCATCCTTTAGCCAACTGTTTAGGGCCCATTTCCTTTCTCAATCTAAGCATTACCGTCTTACTTGGATTTTTATTCCTGAAGTAATAAAATAGGAAATAGCAGTGATTTATCTATCAGAAACTAGATTAATAGTTATAGCAAAATACTTTAAAATGCAAAATGCCATATCCTCAGCTATTTCTATGAGTGAAAGATTTTTTTTTTACTCTGAAAATACTATTTTCCTCATTTTCCCAGTTCCTAAGAGTGTTTAACATATCCCAGGCTGTAAATTTTCTCTGAGCCTTACTTATAAATTAGATATTTAATTTCAGTAAGAAGTTGAAATTTTATTTTACAGAAAGGACTTTTTTTTCCTTGAAATTCATCTCTAATGGTTCTAATAAACCTTACTTTTTTCTTTAATTTTCAATTTTTCCAACATTTGTAGTACTTAATTTAAATCTGCCTTCCTTCAGCAACCTAGTGTGACGACTGTTTTGGCTTTGGTCAGAAATCACAATTTAAAAGTGACTGATATCCAGCTCCTATCAGAAGTACATTTGAGAGAAGTGTTGTTTACGGAAAGAGTGCTGCATGGACATTTGGTTCATCCACTCTGTATTCTGAGTTGTTTCTGTTTCAATTTACATCTATGAAGGCTACCGTCTTGGGAAATGCAGTGTGTACTCTCGATTTTATCAAGGATAGATCATTTTTAAAAGCAGATTGTTATGTTTGAAAATCATACATTTACACAATGGAATACTATTCTGTAAAAACAAAGAAAGTTGTTTTTGTTTTTTAACGAGGCATTGCATTTCTTTTTTTCTTTTTGTTTTTTGTTAATCCTCACCTGAGGATATTTTTCCATTGATTTTTTTAGGGAGAGTGGAAGAGAGAGGGAAACAGAGAGAAACATCGATTGGTTGCCTCCTGCGAGCCCTGACCAGGGCCCTGGCCCGAGGGGAGCCTGTAACCAAGGCATGTGTCCCCAACTGGAACCGAACCCGGGACCCTCTGGTCCCCCGGCCAGTGCTCTATTCACCGAGCCAAACCAGCCAGGACAAAACAAAGAAAGTTTTAAACCTTTGCAACAGAATGGATGGACTTGGAGAACATTATGTAAGTGAAATAAGTCAGTCAGAAAAAGACAAGTACCATATGATTTCATTCATATGTGGAATTTAATGAACAAACTGAACTACCAAGCAAAATAGAGCAGACCCATAGATAAAGAGCAAGCAGACAGCTCTGTTGGAGGGTTGGGGAGTAAGTTCATAGGGATTAAGCCAGAAAGAAAAACCATTAAGGACATTGTCATTATGTCATTTACTGTCCCCATAATATCTCACTGTGATAAATAGCTTAGAATTTGCCTCAGGGAAAAAAAAATTGTCTTCCTTAAAAAATTAGTAGACTACTTCTTTGCTGATTATAAAGATTTCCTAACTGTTGGGAAGCTCAGTGCCTGATTTTGGTACAGAAGACTCCTGACAGCACTCTGTAAGTCCTTCCTAAATAGGTCGTATTATAAACAAATTCTGTACTGGAAAAATAAACAAATTTAAATAGGAAATAGAGATAAAGCATTTGACAAGCACCTGTTTAATATGTTTGCTAAACCAGAACCTTAAACAATGAGCCCCTTTTGATTTTATTTCCTTCTCTCTCTTGATTAGAAAACATTGTGTGACGTGATCCTTATGGTCCAGGAAAGAAAAATACCTGCTCATCGTGTTGTCCTTGCAGCAGCCAGTCACTTTTTTAACTTGATGTTCACAAGTAAGTATCTTAAGGTCAAACGTATTATTTATTCTATGAGAATGAGATGGGTCTAAATGAAAACAGGCCATTTTTTCCTGGTTTATAAAGAAGTTAAGATCATAGAACAGTGAAGAGATTGAAAAGTGGTCATGGTTATGATTAATCAAAGGAATCATGTCATTTCATTCGCCCTAAAAGCCCCAGGTCTCTATTTATAGGGATACAGCTTCTACTTAAATACCTACAGTTTTCTTCTTAACCTCTGGTGGAAAGGCAAAGGAACAGATAAACCTTATGACATTTTATCCAGCAAGTTAAATTAAGTAAAAATGAAATATTGCATACTAGTGGCCTGGTGCACGGATTCCTGCACATTGAAAGGAAATTAATTAGAAGAAATATTTTAATATTGCTATTCGCCCTTTCTCTATAATGGAAGTGTCAACCAAATTCACAGTCAACAATGATAGATTGAAACACATGTGTGTGATTGGCACCAGTGAAAGCTTTATATGTATCACACATGTGCGAGTCAACTTAGCCTTTTACATATATAGAATAAACTTGCTTAATTAGACCTACTTTGTGATGTAGCTAAACTTTTTCTAATGAAAAGAAAATAGGATTCCACTGAATCTCCTATATGTCTACCCCAGGACTTCTGTGAGGATCAAATGAGATGAGGCATGGGAAAACACTTCACAGACATTTGGTTAAAGTGTAAATGTTTCCACCTGGCTATAAAGCAAGTTGGGTTCCTGCGCTGAAAAAACTGCAAGGAGGCTAGTTGCTAGGGAGAGGAAGCCGGGCGTTGCTACGTGACATCATTACCCAGTACCCACAGTGACCGTTTCTGGGCTGGCCATGGGGTCTCACAGTGTTGGCTGCAATTTGGTGGGCTGTCATTCCAGGGTGGTGGCGGGGCCTGTGTCCTACTTGGGGGAAGCCGAGTATTGCTTTGTCGGCACCAGGTCCACACTGCCGTTTCTCTGTAAATGGTCTGTGCGTGTCATAGCGACCTGTTGGACAGGTGGAAGGACACTTAGCATATTAGCCTTTTATATAAATAGATAATACTAGAAAGAATCCTAGAGTTGGAGTTGAGAATTGGGTCCAAGTCCTTGTATCTCTATTGAGTACTGTTTCATGAGCCTCATCAAGTTATGAAATGTATCTACCTGCCAGGATTTTGGGGAAGAGGAGAGCTTTGCTAGTTGTAGCTGACTGTATATAATGGTCATTTTTCTCATAGGTTTGTTTTAGCAACATCAGAGGCATTTTGCTCATAGCAATTTAAAAGAGTGCTACTAAATTATTTTAGAAGTTGGGAAAATACTAAGTCCAGTTTTATTTCTCTCTGTTCACTTGCCCCTCCCCCCCTTTTTTAAGAAGTGCACTAATTCACTGATTACTTAGATAATTTTAATTTAAGGCATATCTCAAGTGTGGAGAATTAATTTGCTTTTATTATAGGAATGTTGGGCTTTCTGGAGTATTTTCCAGAGAAGTCCTTGTCCTTTTATTCCTCTCCATGTTTACATGGCCTGGAATAGCTGTTTCCTCTGTGGTAGTACTCATGCCATTTGTGTTTCTCTTCTTCATTTTAGCTAACATGCTTGAATCAAAGTCCTTTGAAGTAGAACTCAAAGATGCTGAACCTGACATTATTGAACAACTTGTGGAATTTGCTTATACTGCTAGGTAAGTTAAGGAGGACTATTTCTGTAGTGGAGGGATAAGGTTGGGATCTAACATGGCAAAGCATTGTAGCAAATCAGTGTGTTCCAGATTCTTCAGAATGAAAAACTTCAAGGATATGGCCCCGGTGGGGAGGTTGGGTGGGGGGAGGGGGTTGTGTTGACAGGAGGGGGAAGTTGAGTATCCTCTGCCATACTAATTCAAGGACTAAAAGTTTAATTTTTTGCTTAATTTCAGGGGCTAGTGGGATGCAGTCTACAGTAGCATTATTTAAATAAAAAACGTAGGAAATTAATATTCACTTTAACTTATTTGCAGAATTTCTGTGAATAGCAACAACGTTCAGTCTTTATTAGATGCAGCAAACCAGTACCAAATTGAACCTGTGAAGAAAATGTGTGTTGATTTTTTGAAAGAACAAGTTGATGCTTCAAACTGTCTTGGTAAGAAATCAGATTCCTATTTAAACACACACACACACACACACCATTAATGTGTATTTTAGTAAAAAAACAACAACTGTATGCCCATTTAATCTTAAAGACACTAGAAATTTTTCTAGTAATACCTTTTAAGAAGAGCTTAGGGAAGTACATATTAACTTGGGCAGCAATGAGCTCATCAAATACTGTATCAGTATTTTCCAAACTATACAATAGCTTTATTAATGATTTTTTGTTTATCTAGAAAGGAGTAAGGATTGCATCTGGTGGTGGTGTGTGATATATAATAACGTAAACATGAATGTTTACCTGTGTTGAAGCCCTTATGATTACTGTGATCTGTCACAGATAAGGAAACTAAGTGTATGTAACTTGCAGAGGTCATATAGCTGATATGTGGAGGAGCTGGGGTTGGAACTCAAGCAATCTTATCCTTCACTGCTACATGGTGCTGCCTCTCCACAGTCAGATCTGCTAACTGTTGTATACTAGAAGCCTTAAAAATCCTAGACTGTACAGTAAGGTACTAATTAAGGGGCTGCTGTAGCACTCCATTTTAAAGCCACTAATAAAGTAGTTTGTATTTGATACCAGGAGAAACAGAGAAAGTTGATCAGAGTTTTCCAGTGTGTGGTGTGGTATGCTTCCACTGTGAGATCATGCTCAGCAGCACATGAAAGAACATCCAGATCCTTGTAATTCCATTTTCCTACTCTTGCTGTGATTCAGAGTAGAAGAGGATCAGGGTAGGAGTCTAGGAAAGAAAGTGAAATCAAGGACAATAGAGAGAGAGGCCTGGGAATCCAGCCGATGCTGAGATTTGTGACCCATGGGAGAAGATGAGGGGTGCTGATGACAAGAAACCAAAGGCTGGGGCAGAGGGCTCCTGGAGATGCACAAGAAGTTCAGCAAGCCTCCTCTGTTCCCCCTTTCCTAGCTCCCTCCTCCTGCTCCATCTGGCACCCCTTCCCCTCACTGTGAGTGCAGAGATAAAGATCATAGAAGAGGAAGCCGAATAAATTTTAGGGAAAAATCAAAGCCAGGCAAAGGCGATAGGAATAAGATTGTTTCTGGTATCCAGAAAAGGAACTGAACCAAATGGGACAGGAGGGGAAATAGCTGTGCAGGTGAATATACTAATGGAATTCTTTTTTGAAGGTAGCCATTGGTTTACATAGTGAAAATACCCTATCTTAGGAATAAAAGACCAGCCTTCAACCCCAATAGAGACACTCTGGGATGAGCCCTTTTATCTCGTGGTCCATAATTTGTGGCTCCATATATCAATGAGATTTATATTCCTGAGATTTATTCCCTTATATAAGTAAATTTGCTCAAAATGTATTATAAAAAAAGGATTTTAAATAGGATTTGGAAGATGATGGCTTAAGTGTGTTTCCCTAACTCTCTAAATTTCATTCTGGGGTGATTCATCTATAATATAGGGAGTGGATGTGGCAGTACAAAGCATAGTGTGGAACCTGAAGCAAGTTAGTGCTGACCACATCTTAAGCTTTGGACTTCTGAGGAGACCATTTAGGAGTTTGACCTCTGGGTGTCAACGTTGATTACAAAGCTGGGAGGAAGGGCAGCCTGAAAATCTGGCTAAGCCTGAAGCAAAGACGGTGGCCCAGCCAGATGAGCCAAGTGCAGCTACTGAGTACCCCAGCGAAGTGCTTCAGCCTGTTTTCTTTTTAGCCCTGAGCACAGCTCCCCCTGAGAGCTGATTGGAGAAGTCCCATCTTATTTTTCACCAATTTCTGCTACCCAGAAGATCCCAACAGTCTGACTTCTATGAGTGCTAAAGGAATCCGTGACAGCTGATGGAATTAGGCAAAGGGCATATGTACAAAGTTAAAAGAAAACCAGTAGTTTGAGGGGCAGGTACTCAAGATAAACAGCCAAAATGAATGGCTTCTATACCATTTAACATAAGAAATGGAAGAGAACTTAAAATAGAAAGGATCCATGAAATTCTATCGAATTTAAAAAATAGAATGGAATACCTAAAAAATAAATAAGTAAATTCAAACAGAAAATTGCCTCATGATACAAAAGAAAAATGCAAAGAATCAGAAACAATTATTGAAAAGATAAATGACAAGAAAAGAAGATATACGGACACTAATTTGAAGTAGGAATTTCAGAAGGAACAGGTGGAGAAAAAGCAATAACTTAATGAGAGCCTGAGTACAGAATCCCAATGTTTTCTGGATTTTATCAGTTTTCTTGTTCATGCCTAATTTGAGCTTTTTTCAAATCTGTCTTAAACCTTAAGATTACTTTTCAGCTCTAGCTGGCTTTGCTCAGTGGATAGAGCATTGTCCTGCAGACTGAAGGGTTCCAGGTTTAATTCCAGTCAAGGGCACATGCCCTGGTTGTGGGCTCCATCCCCAGTAGGGGGCGTGCAGGAGGCAGCCAATTGATGATTCTCTCTCATTGATGTTTCTATTTCTCTCTCCTCCCTTCCTCTCTGAAATCAATGAAAATATATTTAAGGAAAAAAAGATTACTTTTTAGAGAAACAACTACTTTTCACATTCATATTTTATTGATCTGTATGGTATTTAAATAGATTGCATAATTGCAACACATTCAACTATCAAAAACTAGTCGATAAACAAATACTGGTTCTTAGTGAAAATGCCATCTCCTTGATGGGGGCATAAGTGTACAGATACGTCCGACTGCTCAACATGAAAATCTGTCATGCATGGCATCAGTCAGTACATTTATAATGTGACAGGTTTATTAGCAGGCATCAGTTATTAGAACTTTTAGGATATAAATAATAAAGCTTCAAAGCTCATTATCTGAAGACAACATGAAGTTGAAACATGGAAAATCACGATAATGAACTGAAAAAATTTATATCATGACTTTGAAGGGAGATCACATACAATAACCAAAGGTTTTACTTAGGAGAGAGATTGGCAAACTTCTTCTGAAAAGGGAGAGATAGTATGTGGCCCTTCTCACTCCTCCTTGTCCTCCTCCTTCTCCCGCTTCCTTCCCTTCCCCTCTTTGTTCCTTCCCCTCCCCCTCCTTCTTCCCTGGGGGAGAATATATATATATATATATACAACTCTTCAAAAATATTAAAAAATATCCTTAGCTGCTGACTCTACAGTGGAATGTGGCTAAATATAGCCAATCGACAGTAAGGATTTTGCAGATTCCTGATAATGTAACATTATAAGTCAATTAATAATATCTCTCCCAAACAGAAATTAAATTGCTAGGAAAAGGCTGAATGGAAAATATAGGGTTTCTATGAATAAAATTGTATAATTACATTAATAATCAAAAATATGAATAAATGAGATATGTCATGTTCCTACGTGGAAGTCTTCCAGATTGCCGAGTTGTCACTGGCCCCAAAGTAATTTAAAAATTAAGTTTAATCCTGGTTAAAATCATACCAGGATTTTTTAAAGTAGAATGTGATAAGCTTATTTTAAAATTAATATACAAGAGAAAATGTTTAACCTAGCCAAGAAAAGCTTGAAAAAATGTTGAAGGGGGCTTGTCCTTCAAAATATCAAAATCAGTCATACATAAAATGGCATAAAAATAGACAAATCAATGGAAGAAAAAGTAACCCAGGTTTATGAAATTCATGAAGGCTTCTTGGAGTCACATTTTATCTTCAATGTAGGTTTAGGCTTTTTTAAAGGTGAATTTCTATTCATTTTCTTTCTGTGTTTAGGTATAAGTGTGCTAGCAGAGTGTCTAGACTGTCCAGAATTGAAAGCAACTGCAGATGACTTTATTCATCAACATTTTACTGAAGTTTACAAAACTGATGAATTTCTACAACTTGATGTCAAGCGAGTTACACATCTCCTCAACCAAGACACTTTGACTGTGAGAGCAGAGGATCAGGTGACTAAACTGCCTTCTCACATTTTTCTTAGTAAATGTCTGTATTAAATCTCATGCTTCATGTTGTGATACATGACAAGAAAAAGAATCAATTAGAAAAGAATGTGTTTTACATATAGAATATCCCAAAGTTTGTTTCATAGGAAAAGTTAGGCCACTTGATAGAGACAAAGCTATTGAGTCCCCGGTAGGCAGAACAATGCCACCCCCAAGAATGTCTGTATTAGTGATGGCGAACCTTTTGAGCTCGGCATGTCAGCATTTTGAAAAACCCTAACTTAGCTCTGGTGCCGTGTCACATAGATAAATTTTTTGATATTTGCAACCATAGTAAAACAAAGACTTACATTTTTGATATTTATTTTATATATTTAAATGCCAGTTAACAAAGAAAAATCAACCAAAAAAATGAGTTCATGTGTCACCTCTGACACACGTGTCATAGGTTCGCCATAACTGGTCTATATCCTAATCCTTGGAATCTATGAATAGGTTACCTTACATGGTAAATGGGACTTTAGAAATGTGGTTAAGTTAAGGGTCTTGAGATGAGATTATCCTGGTGGGCTCCATCTATAATAATACAAGTGTAATATGCAAATCGACCCAACGGCCAAACAGCGCAACGACCATCCAGACGACCTTCCGGATGAAGCCAGGGCTACAAGGGCTGGGCCCCTTGCACGAATTTCGTGCATTGGGCCTCTAGTGTAATAATAAGCATCCTTAAATGTGGAAAAGGAAAACAGAAGAGTCAGTGTCAGAGTAATGCAATGTGAAAAAGACTTAGCTGGCCATTGCTGACTTTGGAGATGGGAGGAAGAGGCTGCAAGCCAAGAAATGTAAGTGGTTGCCAGGTGCTGGCAAAGACAGGGAAATGCTTTCTCCTGGATAAAGCATTGGATAAAAACTAAAGAAATTGTTTAAAAGTACGAAGTTCAGTTAATAATTATGTATCAATGTTGGTTCATTAGTTGTAATAAGAGTATCATACTAATGTAACATTTCAACAACTGGGTGCAGGATAATTGGGAACTCTGAACTACCTTTGTAACTTTTCTGTAGTCTAAAACTACTCCAAAAGAAAACGTTTATTTAAAAAAATAGACCAATTCCCATAAAAAATGAACTCATAGGGAGATTAGAGCTTAGGCCTTGTTAATACCAACCCAAAATTAACAACTTTATCTAGCTCAATGTTTAGATGGTAGATGTGTATGTATATGAAATAATGTTTGCTTTCAGTGTGTTTAAACTGTGATTTGTTAATCAAGTTATATTAATTAAACTTGGATTTATTTGGAACAGTTAAATGAGCCACAGTATTGTTTTAGAAAATTATTCTTATATAAAAATCTTATAATTTATTTTTTTAAATATAAATTTTGTATATGATAAAGTTTTTGGAAAGTAGATAAGTCTATCATTTCACAATTCAAGCATATTAGATTAAATAAAATCATAGGTGACTTTCACATCTGTTGAGGTGGAAGGCCTCTTAGGAAATTAACCTGTTTTCCTGTTACCAAATGAACATATATTGATTTTTTTCAATAGAAATATGCATCATATCTCCTTCCAAAAAGGGAATGTAATTTGTTTTGAAAACCCATAAATTCAACATTCTCCCTGTCACTACATTATGTAGTAGTAATTCTGAAAAACATGTTACCTAAAAGAATCACTAGAGCAGTGTGTAAACTGTTCTAAAATATAGGCTTTGTTTTGTTTGGGTATGAAAGCAAATATTTGAGTAAAATATTGGGAATAGTGGTTATGAGATTCTTCCCCTTCGATGTGAGAGTAAATCTAGGTAACTGGAAATGTTCTTGCCATCTAAGAACTTTGCTAAGCTGTTTTCCCCCCCTTAGGTTTATGATGCTGCAGTCAGGTGGTTGAAATACGATGAACCTAATCGCCAGCCATTTATGGTTGATATCCTTGCTAAAGTCAGGTTTCCTCTTATATCGAAGAATTTCTTAAGTAAAACAGTACAAGCCGAACCACTTATTCAAGACAATCCTGAATGCCTTAAGATGGTGATAAGTAAGTTGCTTTAATATCCATTTATAACCTTATCATGTAACCAGTTTTTTATGGACTTTAAAGACCATTTAGAATGAATCAGACTCAGTATCCAGGGAGAAACATTCAAGATTTAGCTCTTTCAGATAATTAATCCTTTGAAGTTGCAGCTGTCTACCTGGATGGGAACTTAGCCCCAGTCCTTATTTTATAGGGACTCGTATGATAGAAGGTAAAAAATATATACATATTACTTATGCTTTGTCTCCTTTTTGTGTACAGTAGTTTTCATGCGCTTTGTTTCTAGTGTTTCCTTTATTTTATTTAGCCAAATAGTGATCACGTTTTCTTTCTTAAACACCTTTGTTTTGTTCGTGGGATTTTTTTATAGCCTGGAGCTAATAATTGCAACATTTTTCCATTTACTTAGTTTTTCATGACTTGCAGGCTAAGTCCCAGCCCCTCTGTAAAATGCCACTTGATGAAATTATCGGAATAATTAAACAATCTTTTGCTTTTATTTTACTTCATGGAGCCTGCCTCTGTCTATTCCAATATGGACTGTTTACTCTCCAGGCCTAAGCCACAATTTTTGTCCTTGGGCTTCCCTTCTGAGCAATGCTGGGATGTCCTCTCACTCCTCTCCTGTGTTGTTAGATCTGCTGTCTTCCTGGACCCCAGGTCTTCCCCGTCCTTAATTCTCTCTATTTAATCTAATGTATCCCCAGAGGTTCCTGAGAAAGAATATGCAGTCAGTAAATACTTAGAATCTTGACAAATCCCATATCTTTATTTACCATAAAATTGGGGAATAGTTCACCTGGTTTAGAATTATCTTGAAAATCATGTTTAGTTAGAATTTTGAAGGCATTGTCCCATCATTTACTAGTTTCCAGTATTACTTTTGAGAAATCTGATGCCAATCTGAGCCTTTATTTTTTTTAATCCCTGATATTTTGAAATGTCACAATAATGTATCTTAGTGTGCATCCTTTTTTTCCCTTTTAAGTTATGTTGGGTATTCTCTGTCTTGTCAGCCACAGATTTTTCAGTTTTCTGTTATTGGTAGTATGATTCTTTAGCAATTGAGTATCTCTTCTTATCTATCTTTGCCTTCTTGTTCTCTCTTCTGGTAGATTGCTTTAACTTTTCTTTCAGTACTTTTATTTCCACTATCTTTAATTTCTGTGAACTTTTATTCTCTAATTTGTTATTTCATGTCTGTGATATCTTATTCTAAAGTAGGATTATACTGCCTTTAATTTTTCTTATCTTGTCTGTATTGCCTTTGAATTTTTTTCATGTTCTTGTTGTTCTTGGAAGCTTTTCTTAATTGATTAGTTTCCTAGTGAATCATATTTGTAAGAGTGAGCTATTTTAAAACTGATAGGATAAGTTAGTATATTTGAGTGGGGTTCTCAGTTCTTTTTTTTTAAATACATATTTTTATTGGTTTCAGAGAGGAAGGGAGAGGGAGAAAGAGTTAGAAACATCAACGATGAGAGAGAATCATTGATTGGCTGCCTCCTGCACACCACTTGCTGGGGATTGAGCCCACAACCTGGACATGTGCCCTGACCAGGAATCGACTGTGACCTGGTTCATAAGTCAATGCTCAACCACTGAGCACACTGGCCAGGTGGCTTCTTAATTCTTGGACAAACTGTAGGGTAATCAGTATAGCCGGATAATTTTTTAATTGGGGATCTCCTAATGTCAATATCTGTAGATATTTTCTCAGGTAGCTGGATACAACATTATAATTTGACATCTATGTACATTTGTCATATAGTGTTTTTGTTTGTTTGTTTTGTGTTTGAGAATACTGTTTGGTTTTTGGAGACCAAATACTGCTGTTTGTTAGTTCTGTTTACTTATTTTGGGTGGCTTAAATCCTTGTGTTCTGTAATTTTACATTATGAGTTTATATTTGATTGATCTTAATTGCCAGAAATATTGGGAGGCCAGGGTAGAATTCCTGCAGATTTTCCCTGTTCTCCTCAAGAGGAGAATAGTATTTGCTTCTGCCAAGTACCCTGAGTACAATAATCCAGGACTGCTTGGAATTTTTCTTGGCTTATGGTTTCTTCGACTTACAGGTAGGTAAATTCAAACCTCAAACCTTCAGGAGAGCAGGGCTGTCATCATAAATTCTCAAAGGAGGATACCTTACCTCCACTTGGAGCTAATATTGAAACAAGCAAATGACTATTTTACCCTTCGCCCTCAGGCAGATTTTTTTTTTTTTTTTTAGTCTCTCTTTTCATTAAAAGTAGAACCAGACCCTCACAGGAATAACTCCCAAAGGAATAAGCCTAAGGGGAGCAAGAAGTTCCTCGGGGAAAGGGGCTGGAGTGCTTGTCCCAAGCCCTGTCCTTGGAGAGGAAAAGCCTATCAATGAAGGAGCCACAGTTCATGCTTTCTTCAGGGGTCAGCACAAACAACATTGATTCGTTGCCTCCTGTAGTGCCCCAACCAGGGATGGAACCCGCAATCTTTTTGGTGCACAGGGTAGCACTACAATTAACTGAGCCACCAGGCCAGGGCTTGTTTTTGTTTTTGTTTTTTATGTATGTATGTATGTATGTATTTATCTAACTATTTGTTTATTATATTTGTAATGATTTCAGAAAGGAAGGGAGAGAGAAACATCAATGATGAGAGAGAATCATTGGCTGCCTTCTACAGGCCCCCTACTGGGGATCAAGCAGCATGTATCCTCACCCCTCAACCACTGAGCCATGCAGGCTGGGCCGGCTAGGGCTTTAATCTATATTTTAAGGGGTGAATATCAACAATGCTTGGGCTCTACCACCAGAGATTTTTATTTAATTAGTCTGTGGTATGGCCCTCGCTTGCTTTCATAGATTTCCTGGGTGGTTTCTAATGTATGTTTAAGATGGAGAACTGCTGGGTTAGGATATCTGAATTTCAATAATTATTATTTTGGCAGCTATTGCTTGAAGAGCCAGATAATCCACTGGTATGTAGTAGTGGGTGGGGCAATCAGCATAATGGTAACTGCTGAGAATAATAAATTGGTTAGGACTCAGATCCTTACACATTTCTCCTGTCTCTTCCCCCTCATAGAGGGCTGATAGAAAAACAGTTTCACAAATAAAAGCACTATTATGTTTGGGTAGATTTTCCCCCCCAAAGCATTAAAGTTCTTGAAGTTCTTAAAGAGTTGCCATGTATTTTTCTACAGGCGGAATGAGGTATCATCTCCTGTCTCCAGAGGATCGAGAAGAGCTGGTAGATGGCACAAGGCCCAGAAGAAAGAAACATGACTACCGCATAGCCCTATTCGGAGGCTCTCAACCACAGTCTTGTAGATATTTTAATCCAAAGGTAACTAATTTTTCCTTTTCTTTCGGAAAGTTTTGAGCAAGTAGACACTCACCTACTCCCAGTAGTGATAACTCATGCCTGTAGAGATGTTACTGTTTATGGTGTTCCTTCACACACCTTATGAGAAACAGAGTTCTCATCTTCTTTTTATAAATTGGGAAACTGAGGCTTAGTCAGATTTCAAATGCTTCCGTAATTGCTCTGGAGTGCGGCACAGTGACCACTATCAAAGGAAATGGAGCACCAGTTCTCTTATCTTACCTCATTTTGTTAGCAACTCCTTGCTTTTGTTACAACTCCTTGTCTTCCTTATGTGCCATTTCCAATGAATATCTGCATCTGGAGTACATGTAATTTCTTTGTTTTTGTTCAGTAGTTATGTTTAATATAAAATAATACATAGTCATTTTAGAAAATTTGGCAAACCTAGAGAAACATAAGAGAAAAGAGAACATTACCTTTAATGGAACCATCTGGAATTGATCACCAATTTTAATGTATTTTCCAGTACATGTTGTGCCAGTTGGGCCAGCAGAGCCTGAGTCACAGGTGTAGGGACACAGTTTTAAAAAATAGATCATTAATTATAGCCTTACTAGAGTCCACTCAAACATTTCTACCCCTTGTGTCTTAGACCTGGGTTTTTGTCTGTAGGAGAGATAAAACAGTATTTTGCTGATACTATGATACAGTATTTGTTGGGACACAGCAGATGCCAGTCCTAAAAGATAGCATCCCATCCTTGCAAGTCTATAATTGGTATTGAGTCTAAGCACATAAGGGTCTCTTTCATCGTTTTGTAGGCCTATTTTTGGTTGATGATAGATACTTGAAGAGTCCAGAACATCCTGTTGACATCAGGATACTTATCTGATCTTTCTCACTGAAGCGGGTGCTTGGAGGCATTGTGTGTAATACTGTAGTGGTGATGTACAAGGCATTTATCAAAACACATGGTGGCGGTGTTAAGAGTGCAAAAGACCACAAAGGCCAATCCAAATCCAGAGTAAGTATCAGTTCCAGTAAGGGCAGTGCATTGTCCCTTCAACAATGGAAAGGTCCCAGTATAGTTAGCCTGGTATTAAGTAACTAACTGGTTCCCTCAAGGTATGTTAACAAATCAAGGGCTTACTGTTGGCCAGTATTATTGACAAGAATAGATCCTGACCAGTAGAGCAGTAGAGGACAGTCACATGGGGCGGGGGGGAGTGGTG